AAATAAACTGAATTGAATTGAGTTGATGCTGTATAGTCTGACTGTCACTGACTGATAATCAGCATCTTACACCAGTTATTTCACTGTAAAAGCCTCCCTAGAAATCTTCTGATCTCAGTTCCATGGCTGATCACAGTCGAAGACAAACGGTGCCACAGATGCCAAGTGGTTTCTGGAAAAATTCTTCCACACCTCTCTCTATCATTCTCACCCAAGTTTGTTCTTTTCACCATGAGACAACTAACACCCCTAACTTCCTGTCTATCGGCTGTTAGACTGATGCATCCAACTGTCCGATCCCGCTGTCCTCTCAGTAGCAGCAGGTTCCGATCATAAGATCTGTCGTTTATCATCTTCTACAGGCAATCAGGTTTCAGGGATCAAAAAGGATGAACACTTGCAGTCTGTTGATGCCATAAAACCTTCAAGCAAAAAGCGGTTTTCACCATCTTGATGCATCAGCCTTTTCTCCAACAGGCGACTGACTGGCATGATGGTTTCTTGTTTGATGAAGAAGAGGAGATGAAGAGCAACAGGGGTTTACCTCCTGGTAGGAACAGCTCCAAAAGACGGCCCCCCAGAAGCAGCTTACATCCTGGTTCTGATCTGCATCTCGTTGCCATGGCTTTGAGTTAGATGGTAGAGTTTGTCTATTCAGTTCACCACCCAAGAACACAGCATTCTGCTTTCAACGAAACTGTCATTGTTTAATCCCCAAAACCTCAACTGTTCTGACCCAGTTCCAGTCCTTGGGAGGGCCTCCCCTCATGAGCCAGTCTCTGGGTAATGATTTGGACAGAGGTGGGCCTGTCCAGCCCCCGCCAGCCGAAGGTCCTCTTTGTTTTAGACGTTTTATAGTTTAAACTCACCACCTGTTAATGATAGGGTCCCCAGACTCCTGCGGAACACAATAGGAGCTAAAAGGAGATGAGTCCGATATCTGGATCAGTGCATATAGGGCTGGAACTGCCCACCATAACACAACTACCAGTCCTTTAAGCTCAAAGTAAGTAAAATCAGTCTCATCCTGAGTTCTGGTTGAGTAAACAGCAGTTTATTCTTTGTTTTTAGTATCAAATGAATTTTCATGGCCTTGCCGAGCTGCAACTGCTCCATAAACCAACATCATGATACTGTTTGATCTCCTGAAGCTGTGCAGAAGTTAGTCTCCTGAGCTCAGGAGGCCTTAGCAGCTGTTTGCAGAGCGAGCTGCTGTCTCCTAGCTTCCTGTCCGCCCGCGGAGCGTCGGTGTCCTGCAGGAAACAAAAGGTTTCCAACTGTTTCCTTCCTCAGGACCCGCACTGAAACCTGTCTCCCTCTCTCTGCGTCTCCCTCGGTGTCTCTCTCCCCGCTCTGTTCTCTTTAATTGATGACGCACGCAGAGTGGGGAGGGCGGGGGTCAGCGATCAGGTTGCCAGGAGACAGGAGTGTGTGTTGTCTCTCCCTGTAGAGCCTGATGTCATTGTGTGTGTGTGTGTGTAATTAGATAATGTGTGTGAATCATCTCCATTCAGCTCTAATAGAGTTCACTGCAGCTTATATAACATCTGTCTGTCTGCTCTTTTGTCCCCTGCCAGCCTCCGTACTCTGACCTGAGACAGAAACACTAAGAACAAGACGGCAGCATGAGGACAAGCTTCATGTCTGAGCGGAGAAAAATCCAACCATCCAATCTGAGCAGGAAAATCCCCCCAAAACCGTTCAGCAGAACCCCGCTGCTCTGAGTCACTAACAGACACAGCGTGGAGGGTCCATCACGCCCTGATTCAAAACATCTGCAGAAACCAGAGCTACTATGAAGCAACATTAGGGGATTACTTTCAGATCCAGTTCTGTCTGAGCCATGGAGTTTCATTTCTACACCTTGTCTGCATGAAAGCAAAACAATGTCTGGACACGAATCTACAGACAGGACGGAAAGCAGTTCCATTTACACTAGGTCTATCAGCAAGAAGGAAGAAACTGTGAAGGAGACATTGGATCAGGATATCTGAGGGTTTGTCTATAGCTGTCTGCTCTCCTGGGGTCTTTATTAAACATACAAATATGCACAATTTGGAGGCGGGGAAAACTAGCCATGCAGACGGGGACTGAGGTGAGGAACTAAAGTCAGAATTTCAGTTCAGTTTATTTACTTAGCGCCAATTCACAGATCATACAGTCAAATTGATTTAAAGTTTTCTATCTAGGGAACACCAGTCGATTGCATCAACTCATGCATCTTACCGTAATTAATAATTCATCTGATGGGCAAACTGGAACATCTGGGCTTCAACACATCCCTTTGCAATTGGCTGTTAGACTTCCTCACCAACAGACCTCAGTCAGTCCGGGTCAGACAGAACACCTCTGATGTCATCAGTCTAAGCACAGGCTCCCCTCAGGGCTGCGTCCTGAGCCCCCTGCTGTTCACTCTGATGACACATGACTGCGCCCCCAGGTTCACCACCAATCACATGGTGAAGTTGCAGACGACTCCACGGTGGTGGGCCTCATTAGAGACGACAACGACCAGGACTGCAGAGAGAAGGTGGAGCAGCTGGTGGACTGGTGCAAAGATAACAGCCT